CTTCCTTCCGAGGAGTGGCTGGTGGGTTTGAACCGCCAGCCGTCTGGTTAGCAAGCAAGTGTCTTAGCCACTATGCTACCAGAGCTCCTTTACAATGTGAATTAGAAGTAGTGAAATTAAGGGATATATTGAAATAAAGTGGCATATAAAAATGGTACTTACGTGTTATCTCTGTAAAAGGATTTATTTCCAAGTTTCCAGAGTTATTCAGCATTTGGTGTAAAACAGACTCAATTTTACTTTTCATTGATGCTCCATTGCTACTTCTAGTGAATTTAAACTTCATGACAACATCTGCTATCACGCCACTACCACCTTGCCTATGGACCATAAAGATATTTTTTTAAAAAAAGATAACTATGATAATTTTCTGCTGTTATGTGTCCCTCTTGGTTAAGACTTTTAAAAAAATGAATAGCATAATTTTATGTTGAACTGACTCAAATAACTATATTTGTATATGTGATGATATTTCACAATGCTACCCCACAAATCTGACTTCAATGCACAGTACATTATACTCATCATACAACATAACCTAACTTTGAAGTGAATATGCCAGAGTTTGAATATCAGCTCTTCCATTTACTGTGTGACTTTGGGTAAGTGATTTAAGTTTCTTAGGTGTTCTGTATCTAAGTGTGGTACTTAATTTTGTGTATCAACTTGGCTGGCCTTGGTAGAGTGGATGGCAGCTGGATGCACTATTCCCTATGATGAGACTGGTAATCAACTCCATGGTCCATCTACTGTGAGCAGCTGAGTAGCTGCTTTAGGGATGTGGTCTGCTCCCTGTATATAAGGAGAAGCTTATGGCATGCTTTAAGCTTGCATGTAGCCACGTCGTTGCTCAAAAGTCTGCCATGCTCTGCCCAGCTTGGGACTTTCAATGGACTTGAATCAATGGCCTGCCATGTGGTTTGGTAACATCAAGACTGTGCCATTTTGTTTGTCGACCTTGGGCTTGTTAGTCTCAGCAGCCAGTAGCTGCCTGAGTGAAGAGATGCCTCTAGCTTCAGTGGGCTGTGTGCAAGAGGCAGAGCTGAAGCCCAAGGTCGAGGGGCTTTCACACAGCCCCTAGAGCTGGCACTTTGAACTTGGACTTCTAGCCTCCCAAACTGTAAGAGAATAAACTCCTGTTGGTTCAAGCCATCCCATTTGTGGTATATTCCTGTCAGAGGAGCACTAGGTAACCAGAACACTAAGTTTCTTCATATTTAAAATGACTTACAATAAATACCATATAAGTTAATATATTCAGAATTTTTGGAAGAGTGCCTAACATTATAGAAAGTACAGTGTATTAGTCATTATTAGACTTCAGAAATATACTTTTAAAAACTCTTCTCATTAAAAAAACTTATAACTTGTTGAGATTCCATATTTATGTGAGAGACTCAATTTTCCACTACCTAAACCTATTTTTCTGCCTAAAATGTAAATTTTAACTTTGGTAGTCTATATTAATATTTTATTTCTCGTTTCAGTTAACTACCCACATTCCTGACAATAAGCCTTGATACTTTGATTAAAGGATATCATTACAGAATAACTAGATAATTTCTACTTTCTTTCATGTAAATTGCTATATAAGTGATTCCTCCTGAAATTGGCTGCCTTTATTTCTGGACTGTAGTAAGATAATAATGCTCACTGTTGTTGTTGCTGTTATTTGCCATTGAGTTGGACTTGACTCATAGTGACCCCTCCTTGGGTTTCTGAGGTGGTATCACTGGGAAGTAGATTGCCCAACCTTCCTTCCAAGGAGTGGCTGGTGGGTTTGAACTGTCAGACTTCTGGTTAGCAGTCAGGTGCCTTAGGCACTATGCTACAAGTTTATTTTTGATGCTCTCATATTTCTGTTTGTGGAATCTTTTTTTTTTTTTTTTTCTTTTTCCCAACTGTAGGCTATCCCCTCCTATCTCATTTGCCAGTTTTAACTTAATATTTATTCTAGGTACTAATTTAATATATTTTAGCAAATATTAAATAAGCACCTTATTGTGCTAGACACTTTTCTAAAATTCAGAACTTATCTGTAACAAAGATAGGTAATTGTCATTCTCATGGATCCTGAAGTCTAGATGGAGAAAAAGACCCTGAGAAGGTATTTATAACTTTTATTTCTAGTAACATGGATGTCTAAATAACTTGAAAACCTTCCCATATAAAACAACTAGAAGTGCTAGATAAAATATAATAAATAACTCTCAAAATGCAAAGGTGAAGTCACATGAAAGTAAAGGAAATGCATGACGACCAAAAATAAAGAAGAACCTAAATATTATAAGGGTAAACTCTAGAATACCCAACAGGCCTGCATTTCAGCATTTACATAGATTAGAGATGAGGTTTGGGGCTACTGTAAAATAGGCAGGTGGATTTGTGGCTTGAAAATGTGGTCAGGATTCTCAAAAAACCATCAGTAAAAGGATGGATTACAAAGAAAAAAAATATGTTCATCATCTCATACAATTAAAAAATAATTTATCCAACTCAGAGGTTCAGTTCTGAATACAAAAAAGTAAAGAGTTTCTTCTGAACATTCATAATCATAGACTTGGCTGTAGTGATGCTTTAGATTTGCTTTAATGTTACCTGCATGATTCTAGATCCCCTAAGCTAAGAAATTACCCACCCTTGCCAAAAAATGATCCAACTGTTCTTTATCTTTTTATTGTGTCTGATAGAAGCAAATGCTCTGGAAATATTAATTTTAAACCAAAGATTCATAGATTCCCACTAATGAAGGGAAGTTAAAGATAAACATACAATCCTAAGGGTAAACAATCCATCATGAACTAGAATCAGCAGAGCAAGAAGTGCATCCTCAAAAATGCCTCATAATAATATTTAACAGATAGTCAGATAACTACACTTAAAATGATCAATGACATAAAAGGAACAATAACTATGAGAAAGTGTAGGACATTATTTAAAAAGATCAAGCAGATCTTCAGAAGAAACAAATAGGGTTTGCAGACAAGAAAACATAGTTATTGAAATTAAAAATTCAATGGGCAGGTTATACAGAATATTAGATAAAGCTGAACAGAAATCCGTGTCCTGAAGATAGAGATGAAGAAATTACACAGAATGACACGTAAAGAGATGAAACAGATCAAGAAATGTTAAGAAGCTTGAAATAAGAGATACTAAGAATTATCCAGAATTAATAAAGACATGAAGCTTTGGATAATAGTGAATCTGAAGAACAACAAACAAAAGAAAATTCTCGTAAACACATCATCATAAAACTCAGAACACCAAAGAGAGGATTTTCAAACAATAAGAAGAAAATTCTAGCTACAAAAGAACATTTTGACTGATGGGACTTTTTAGTCACAATAAAGGATGCCAGGATATAATTATGTCTTTAAAGTACTGAGAGACAAGAGCTATAAACTTAGAATTTTATATCCATACTAAACTATATAATAAAGCTAAGAAGAAAATTTTTTAGACAAAACTTTTTTAGAAGAAACAGTTTATCACTTATGTGCTCTTGTAAAAGAATTTATAAAGGGAATACTTCATTAAGAAGGAAACAGAACTCAGATTTAGGGAATTAGCTACAAGACAAAAAATAGAACAAAGGAAATGGTAAGATGTGCATAATGTAAGAAGGCATTAAAAGAGACTTCTGGCAAAATACTGGAATAAACAGACAAGCCATTCAGACTCTCTACAACAAAGAAATGAGAAGTCAATTGAAACAGATACAGAAAATAATCCTGGAACTCTGAATTTTGAAGGGAGGGTTAAAGAAGTGCATTTAATACTGACTAGTAGAAGAACCTGAATGAAAACAGCAAATAAGGAGACAAACAGAGCTGTGGACTGTGGACAGAGCCTGTCCTGATGGTGTGGCTAATTCAAATATCTGCAGTGGTGTTCAGATCTAGGCAGCAACCTAAGAATTGGCTCTGGTTGCCAAGGACTGCATAGGCAACCGCATTGGTGGCTGATGATGAGAAAGCAGTTGTGCCCAGATGAACCAGCCACACCTGTACCTCCTAAGCCCCACTCACTGTGAGGGGCACCACCTGCTGCTGCACCACTCAAAGATAGACAACAGCCAAAACCAGCCCAACTCACCCTCAACAGGTCTTCATGAATAGCTAATAGAGATCTATGCACTCATTCTCATCCTTTATCATACCCACCAGGAGACAGGTAATGAATGCCTAAATGCTACCAAAATAGCAAATAGAGTATCATAATAGCCCTGCTCACCTAGATATATCAAAACAAAGTAAAGCAAAAAACAAAAACCTGAGCAAATCACACCAACATACAGTCACCAATTAAATATAAATACAATGACATCACAATGTCTTAGAGACAATTAACCATCCAGTTCACACAAAGAGGCAAGATGAGTTAGTACAAACCAGGGACCAAAATACAGCCTAGAAATTCCCCTGAGGAAGAGGAGCATTGAAACTACCTGATAAGGAATTCAGAAAAAGAATTCTATTTAGTTACTGTTAATGAATTGAGAAACAAATCAAACAAAACACTGACAAAATCAAGGAAAACACATACAAAATTCTAGAACAATTTAAGAAAACCATACAAGGAGCTAACAAAATAAATGAAAAATTAGAAACCATACAAAAACAAGTAGAAATCCAGAAGATTAATACTAAGATTTCAAAAGTAGGTAACACATTAAAAGAACAGTTTGAGAAGACAAAGCCAATTACTATGAAATATGCAAAGACCTGGAGTGAGAAAGCTAAAAGGGAAGAACATGTTCGGCATTTCTCAAGCTGAAAGAACTGAAGAAGAAATTCAGACCTCTATTTGAAGATTTGAAGGATTCTGTGGGCAAAATATTGACAGATTCATGAAGCATCAAAAGAAGATGGAAGGAATACACAGAATTACTGTACCAAAAAGAATTAGCTGATTGTCCAAATGTTTCAGAAGGTAGCATATGATCAAGAACCAATGGTATTGAAGGAAGAATTCCAAGGTACACCGAAGGAACTGGCAAAAAAAAAAAAAAAAGGCAAGATTCCAGGAATATCCACTGAGGTGTTTCAACAAGTAAGCACTAGAGGTGCTTACTTATTTTATGCCAAGAAATCTGGAAGACAGCTACCTGGCCAATTGATTGTTGTTGTTGTTATGTGCCATCGAGTTGGACCTGACTCATAGCAACCCCTCCTTGGGTTTCCAAGGAAGTATCACTACAGAAGTAGATTGCCCAACCTTCCTTCCGAGTAGACGCTGGTGGGTTTGAACCACCAGCCTTCTGATTAGCAGTCAAGTGACATAGGCACTATGCTACCAGAGCTCCTAGCCAACTGAT